TTTTTTACATTTCTTCAGAGCCTTGGCTGTAAAGGAAGAACTCAAACAAATGCCACTTGGATCCTGAAAGCTTTTTGCATTAGCACAAACCAAGATACAATCTATAAAACTAGCACCTTTGTATATGAAAGAAGTATCAGTCTTCCTATGGTTCTTTCAGGCTTTTAGAATGATCACATGAAAGATACCAGTACAGAGCCTTAAGCACAAACACTTAGCCACACATTTGACCTATGAGATTTTCAAGACAGTTGTAAACTGTAATTATCATTAGACTTGTTTATATTTTTGAGAGTACTTTAGATCCTATTATTAATTAAAAAGGTTTTCTAACTTCACACCTGGGATAGATGCTATGCTTCTTTTCCACACATCTCTGTTTGAAATTTTCTCTAGGGCTAAAACTGTCTAGCAAGGCAAGATCATGAAAATTCATCACTTTACTGATGGCTTTAATAAGGTTTTTTTTTCTTCTAAATAGTCAGCACCTTCCACCATGATCAAAAAGTAAAATCAACTCTGCTACAGATTTCTGCTACATTATTTTCCACATAATTTATTCTTAAAACAACATTTTGGCTTTAATTTTAATTGGAGTGCCTTCCCTTTCTTAATAGGTTTTTCCAGACCAAAAGCAGACAGCATTTTTCCTTTGACAAACAACTGCTGTAGTTCTATCTTTAGCCTCTAAGTACTGAAGTCATGAAATGGAAACCTGCCTAATTCTGTTCAAATAATACTGTGGAGCTTACAGACAAATGTTAGCTCACTGTGAAAAAATTTTATCTGCATGCTATCAAACTGCATGAAATTCTTCTGCGTATTTTCCATGGGTCTATAAAACAGATTGATTACTCATGCTGCCCACATCAGAAAAGGCTGGACACAATTTTCAGGATCTGATTTTCTTTTTTTTTTTTTTTTATATTTAGCAGCATTTCAATCACCATCCATCTGATCATCACCACTAAGAGCTCACAGTACCTCTAATGATAATGATTTCATTGATGCTGCAGCAGAACTTTCATAATGGTTTACTATGGTTTTAAAGAAACATCAAAGCAACATGACACCATCTATCCTTGACAGCTCATGCAGAACAAAAATTATAGTTCCGTTGTGCATATCCAAATATAATCTGCCTAAGGGTGAACGGTTTGTAAATCAAATAATTTGATTGAGGGTACACGCTTTTATTGTGCGGAATACAGACTTCCTATTCAATTTACCAGGTTTTGTTACACATGCAAGTAGGCATGCTCACTGTTCCTTCATCTGAGATGCCACTGAGCAGTGGAACTCATTAACAGCAGCTAGTAACTAACTAATCAAAATAACAGAGAATCTGCCAGCCCAGGTAGAATAGGAAACCAAATTTACACCTGACAAAAGGAGTAATTAGCGAGCTTAAAGACAACAGGAAATATCAGATGGGGCACAGAACGCATTAATAATTGATACACTAGAACTCTTTGTTATTCCCTTAGAGGGTTTCATTGTTATAACTGTTAAAGTGCATTTTTTATTAGATTACCCACTAAAAAAAGAAATTAAAAGCATCTTACCTATAACTATTCCAAAACGCTCACCTTTTTCTTTTTTTTTTTCCCCTCAAGACACCATTTGAAAAGTTTTATCCATCACTTGCCAACTGAAGCGCAGCTTTCAACAGCTGTTTACAAATACGGAATTGAACTATTTATGGTGTCTCAGTTTTCACTTACCATCATCGTTGTTTTGCTTTAAATGGTTTATCATAAACTCAATGGGATCGTCAGGCTTATGAATTAATAGTTCTTCAAGCATATTCTGAAAATAAATAGGACAAAGTCAGAGGAAAATTTAACATAGCTATGCAGTCATGTTATACTGTATTTTCACAGCAGTGTTACAGTGATGATCTTAAAGAGTTTATAAATGCTTATTCATTTCCTCAAGGCCCCTTTCACAGATAAAATTGAGACTAAGAAACCTATTTTTGAAGCTGAAAAACTGAAGTAAAGCATAGTCAGAAAATCGCTAATAAAAAAAATAACCTATTTGTTTTAATTCATTTCTGATACATGTAGACACCAGAAAGGTTTGGCTGGAGCAGTCTGGTGTAGATAACAGTTGAGTCAGCATTGACATAAAAACCACACAAGGAGTTCTGAAAACAGAGTCAGCTTAAATTAGTATCTCTGCAGTGCAAGTTCAACTTCCTTCTCAAGCACATTCCCACAAGTTTCCGCCTAGCCTAGGGGACCGCAGAACAGGAGAGACCTGCAGAAAACACAAACCCAACAACCAATCAAAGCCACAAAAGCTGCACATCTCACTATTGTACAGCACTAGCCTTCCTCCCACATGAAAAACTAAGGGGGCGGGAGGAATAAAAAAGGAAAAAAAAAAAAAAAGCTTAAAGCATTTCCTTGAATGTCTGCTTTGGAGCCCATTTTCATATGCAATATTTGAGGCTACGCAGGGCCTTGCTTCTGCTCCCGCCGACAGCTGTGGGGATCTGCCACTGGTTTCAGCAAGGACTGTAGCTTTACAGGCTGAGAACGGAGTAACACCAAGAAACATCGACTCCACAGATTTTCTCACAGGACATTTCAGCACAGCCAAGAATTTTGTAATTAAAACTAAATATCAAACCGCACCTAATGTTCTAACTGTGATTACCTACTGAAATGCTCACACTGGAATAGGACATCTTTCTCTAAAAATCAGTCATAACACTAATATTTGCAAGTAAATCCCATAAAATCTGTATATTCCATAAAATTTTATATTCTAACCAGTCTTCTTTTATTGAAGCAATCCATTTTCCTGTTCTGCTTCATCCACTTCATTAGAATAATTAAAACACTCAGTTTTGTTTATAAACTGTTTCACATGCAAGTTCTGGTGCTTCAAGGTCTGGGTAACACACATCGTAAAGTATGAAATCTGTATTTTTATTGGAAGTTAATTTAAAAATTATTACTTTCTGGCAACATTTATTTCTACCAAGAAATCCAAATTTGGCACTAGAAGTATCAGCAGCTTTAAAATTAACAAACCTAGAAAATCTGGTCTTACCATGAAACAAACCTATTCAGGCTGACAATGACTGATACTTTCACTATTTCGTGCCCAAATCCTACCAGCACTTACACACACACTGCATTTTATCCAGATTAATTTTGCACAGGCAGTTCTGTCAATCACTGGGGCAGGTTCACGGTTTCACGTTTTAGGTTTCACATTTTGGGTTTTCTAAATGTTTACATTTAGAACACTAATTTCACGCTGTATTTGTTTGCACTATTATGTTGCTACAACACAGCTGAAGCGTGAAAAGAAAACAACACTTGGAGTGAACCCCATGAGCATCGCGTGCAACGTGAGGTCCTGCAGCCGCGTCCAGCGCCTCGCGGCACACAAAACACAGCATTGCCATAAAACCCCACCAATATTATGCCACGGTGGTGATATCAATGGCCTTGAAGTGAAAAAAAAAAAAAGAGGGGGAAGAAAAATGAGTATTTGTGGGCTTTCCAGGGAGATCTGAGGAAGTAACAGGCCTTACAAACACCCGAGTGGGGAGCGGCGCTGGCACCGGTGCGCAGGGCGAGTCTCT